TTTTTTTTTTTGATTTTGGGGTAAAATATGACCCGGACATGTTTTTGTGATTTTTCACCCAACAAGCTTAATTAAATGCAAGCTTAAGGCTTAAATTTGTTTTGTCAGAATGAAACAGCGGTCAGGAATCACTTTTACGTCAGTCTCTGGATGCTCATAAAATTGACTCATCTGCATCTTGTTTCTTCTGTCTGCCATAATGAACAACCTCTTCAACTGACCTCCATATTTCCCTCAAATTGGAGTCTGAATTCTACCTAATGCTTTTAAATGAAGGCTGATCTGTATATAATGGATTGTATAGCAGACACTAAAGACCTTTAAGAGCAGTGGAGACTCTGGAGGGTTGTATAGAACATCAGTGCACAAGAGCTTCTGTACAGCACAATCATGTCACGTTATTTTTTTTATTCTACCAGTACACCTTAAAAGAGACGTATTTATGTCATCTGAATGTAAAGTATGTGTGATTAATGCAGGGTTTGATTTATTTTTTTATATTTTTCACTGTCTTTTGAGTTTGTTGACCACATAACTTGTCCTGTTTGAAGAGTTTGGGAGCACATATGCAAAGATACATGAATGTTTGTCCACTGGTCGGAGTTAAACAGGCCCATGTGATTGTAAATCTCATGTATAGCTATTGTGTGCAATGATGACATTTGTTTTTGGTGGCAGATCTAAATTACTGCAGGGTCAGCAACTTTAACAGATTCCCAAATGGAAATTTGGGACTATTGGTACCATTACCTGGCCTTTTTTTTGTTGTATTATATCAAGTATGTATGTTGTGTGAATGAACTATTAATGGATGTTCTAAATTTAAGGAAAATAACAAGGATTAAGCCAATGCTGAACATTCCAAGAAAGGGCCTGGAACTTTTCCAAAGTGTTTCCCAACTCTTCAACAGAGCTGTGTTGAACAATTTTATTTTTGAGTGTTTGTGAAGAACCTGTCATATTTCAGATAAACTGAATGTAACTACAGTTTTCATAATTCCAATCTACATTACGAAAGACCTTGGGTTAGATCTGACTAGTAATAAATAATGTCACTTTACCTGGTCTGTTTGCGTTTCTGAGGGGAAATTAATTTGATGTAATATGCTGGTCTGTTTAGTTTGGGTATACTGACAGTATTCTTTTCTCTCAGTTTTCTTCAGTGGTTAAAAATGGTAATTCCATTTCCTTTTAATCTCACTCCTTTTCTGTTTATATCTACACTGTGGTTATATTTGGCTTTCTTTAGGCTTAATTTCAGGCTCTAGTGGGTATGTTGACATAACACGTTTGACAAACTAGTTTTCTTCCAGTTATTTATTTATTTATTTTTTTTTTTTTGCATATTTTATCCATTTAATCTCATTGCTTTGCCCTGCTAACAAAATTTCACATGCCAGGTATTGTATTATACTTTTTTTTTTTCTCATATTGCATAAAGTGGGGCACACACTATAAAATAATCCGGCTGATTTCCGGCCGAATTCTCCTCTTCCGACAATTCTAGGTAAAGTCCTGATTAACTTGATATTTCTACAGATTATATTATCAGATTTTGGGTGAACTATCTCTTTCAATGGGGCATATTATTTTTGCCACCATTGTTTACTCTAAAGTCACATTTGACTGCATGAGTCGGGTTGTGTATGAATTACACAATAATTATGAATTATTGGTGAGACCAGGGATGGTTGTAACAGTTTTGACATTACCATCTTGGAGTTCTTTTAAGCCAGTGCATTTAAAATGAGATACAAACTAGTTATAAGTCTGCTATTATGTGACGCAGCTGTTATATTTGCAGCCCAAACAGAAAATCCATGGTTTAGTTTCAAACATGAGGAGTGAAATGTTACAATTCACCCCCATAGTCCGGTTTAGTTGTAACAGGTGAAATGTAACATTATGAAATAAAGATTGACAAAAAATGGATTTTGACTTTTTCAACATAGTTTGTGTGTGTGTGTAAGCATGTTTCTGTAAGTAATAGTAATTGGCCATAATAAAGTGAAGTTGAACACTTGAACATTGTTTCTGTTTGTGTGAGCATGTATGTTCCTGTCAGTTACTGTATAATTCAAAATGCTGAGGGACATCACTCAGTTTGTCTTTCTCTTCTAAGACTTAGCCATACTGAAATTCAAAGAAAACATACCAATACAACTAAAAATTGCTTGGGGTAGGTTGCTAAAAGTTTCATTGATGTTACAGCTAACTGTTACAGTCTTGTTGTTAAAACTAACCCAGCGTCTTAGCCATGAGCTAGCTCATCTTATAGCTAACAACCAAAACATTAGCACTAATAACTTGCATTAAAAATATATAACACATACACAAAACATAATTTAACTTTGACGAGTTTAACTATAAAGCAGGCATTGCCATCACAAAAATAATTAAAGTAAAAAAGGTTACTGTCTTACATCAAAATTAGTTTTTCCCCTCTAAAATCTGCTGTCTGCCCCAGGGATCTTCTTCATCATATGTGGAATAAGGACTAAACTA